CTAAAGGATTCACAGCCGTGAAACTTGACCGGGAGAGGATAAAAAATGATCTCTCTCGACGATTTACTCAAATGGTTGCATCCTTAGAACTCATTAAGGATTCTTAGAACTTTATCTATCAAATTAGAATAATTCAGATATATTCATTTATTAATATTAACTTATTCTTATTAATATTGTTTCGTTACGATCGACAATCACGTTATAATAAAAAATAATTTTAGATAATTACTTTTTGATCGATACAATTGTGGTAAATAATCGAGTTAAAATAAATATAAATCATAGATTTAAAGTAAACCATATATTTAAAGAGATAAATGATGTTTATGAAAGAATATAAGTGTTCTGACCGTGTGATATAATCACAATAAATCTTATTCGATACGTTCTTCCTTTAATTAATCGTTTCGTTCGATCAGATCGAGAGGAATGTACAACAACATAATATATTTGTGAAAAAAAGTTTTTGTACAGGTGTTCGTTCAGCACTTTCGAGGAAGATGCAAAAGAGAAATTCCACACGTTTGGGAGAGGAAGAGGAAGAGAGAAATAGAAAGAGTGAGAAAGAGGGAGGAAGGATCGAAAGGTTCTATCTGAACACACATGCATACTAAAAGTACAAGAAGAAAGCAGGGATTCGATTCTTGTCGTTCGAATTCCACATACTTCGAGCATACCGCTGCAGGAACAGCAAGGACGAACAAAATTCCATCGATTCTCATCGTGATTCATAATCAATAATTCTCACATAGGATTTGTACGTCGACATTCAATCAATTCTGTCTTTATCAATCATTCCTTATAATTCTGAAATATAAATTCGTCCTAAAAAACTTTCTTGAAGGAAGATACCGAATTGATTATATTTTCCAATAGGACGTGTCTGTTTCCTCCTCCCATTCACATACATTCATAATTTTTTTTATGCTTATATATATATATATATATAAACACACACACATACACACACATATACGATAGGGTGTAACGAAACAAACACACATGGCCAGTGGCACGAAACGCGAGAAAATAATGTGAGAACGATTTCTTGCCAGGCCGCATCATTATCTCCTCCCACGAGCCCTCATCCCAGTCACCCCCTTTCTCCACCCTCTCGCCAACGATCGATCTGTCGAGCCGATTCCGAGCCGGGACGGGCCGGCCCCGGACAAGCCTGCAATTACTATCTATTATCTCCTGGCGTGGGTGTAGGTATAATCTCGCGATCGTGTCGAGAGCCACTCTGTGTTTCTCTCTCTTCCTCGCCCTCGTATGTATGTTCGTTCGAAATGTGCCCGTGCCATGGAAAAGGAGAGCAAATAAAGGGCTTTTGCTCGATAGAGCCTTGAGATCGGACACTTCGAGCGTGTCCATGCTTTTCTCTCTCTCTCTCTCTCTCTCTCTCTCTCTTTTTTTCTATGTAGCTGTTAAAAAGAATTGCCTTCTTCTCGACCCTTCAAGACTTTATATCAGTACTTAGAATCTAAGGCGTTCTTTGTTTTTCTTAAGGTTTTTTATCTCGGCCTTCTTGAGAAGGATATTTCTGATCGAGTGACAACTGTGTGTGATTTTTACATTGGACGCGTACATTTTAAATATTCATTTATTAATTCCAATAAGTTTTTATCAAAATCTAAAGGGTAATTCGTTTGATTAAAATCAAGATTTTCATCGTAAAGAAAAAAAAAAAAGGAAAGTACGAACTGATTGATGCTGGCAATATCATAATCATTATCATTACTATTATTATTATCGCAATCGGGAAAGTAACATTAATGAATTCAAAACATCTTCAACATCTTTTCTTTTCCCCTCTTTATCAAACTCCCATCTCCTCAAACTCCTAAGAACCATCCTCCAGTCCCTTTCCCATCACTTCGAGCAACACATCCCGTCCTTGTCCCTCAGCAGCAGCAGCAGCTAACCAGTCAGCCATTTCACTTTTAAAGACCCTGTGCAAGCGGGGACACTGAGATTCCAGTTGCTCGTTTTCTATGGATTTACATTATTTACAAACTGGTTTCTCGCAATGTGAAATAAAAATCATTCTGTCCTTCTCTCCGTTTCTCCTTCTCAACCTTTACCTCTTCGACTACGTTGCCGCCACCTTCGTTTACGACGATTCCCGAGTCCCTTGAATGTTTTCTCTGTATTTATAAGCATGTATCTGTGGGATATTGTCTGTATGTTTGAAAGAGGGACGAATTACGTGGAATCATTACGAGTACCTTGAGATATATCCTACAATAATGTTCTCACACTTATTTTCCCTCGTACTATTTTTATATAAAATAAAGGATATCTCAATCTTAGACAATTTTAGATTTATGATTTTAATCCTCCGATAAAACATGTACTTAGACATGTAATTTAAAGGAAGTATAATGATTGGAAAATAATAATTTTTTTGTTTTGTTTTGTTTTGTTTTCGAAAGACACCATAACTACATTTTTTATAGTCACTAAAATCTATGGAAAAAAGAGAGAGTAAAAAATAAAGAGCACAAAGCCCGATATATATCGTACGTATTCGTTCATCCTTCGCTTCGGATTTCGGGGATAGTATCCTCTAATCCCCGGACAAACCCGTCGTTTTTAATCAACGCCTTTCTGCCGATTAGGATACTTATAATGATCGGTATTTCGCAGACACCCCATATATCATGATTTTAATGATGCCGTAAAAACGTGCTCACGATCGTAGACACGAAACGGATATGCAAGAAAAGAAGGTGAAAGAGAGAGAGAGAGAGAGAGAGAGAGAGAGAAAGAGAGAGAGAAAGAGAGAAAGAGAAAAAGAGAGAGAGAGAGGGAGAGGAAGAGAGTGAGAGAGAAAGAGAGAAAGAGAGCTGATGATCGCAGTACGCGTCACCCAATCAGCCGGATGCCCCTGACCGTGGCGAATTAATATAATTTATGAAAATGAGCCTTACCGTCTATGGCCACCGATTTGCCCAGCATTCATATTTATAAATGCATATATATGGACATACAGTAGCGTGCAAAAGTTTAAGAGACTTTTAACATTTCCGATAAATATGTCACGTATATGCATAAGTATACATGTATTACGTGTGTTATATAATTTAGTGCATAGTTGTCGGTGAACGTGTTAAATCGAACGTGGAAAATGAAGACAGATATTATTTTATACATTTGCGAATGAAAATAATATAAAAATTTATATAAAAAAAAATTGTTCCTACAGTTTTACGTTTCACATTCGGCATATTTAACATTCGAAATGATATCCTTTACTAATTCAAATTATATCATTCTATGGAGATTTTATTTTATAAAGTTCCCTAATATTTCTCAATCCGACAATATGTTCAGATGGATCATTTGAAACTTTTGATTGCTACTGTATATGTATAATATATATACCTTTAAATTCATATATATGCAGTTTATATTATATCGCACGGAATTACGGAGGAAGAGAAAGAGGAAGAAAGAGAGAGAAAGGGAGAGAGAGAGAGAGAGAAAGCTGTAAGAATTCTATTTTTAAGTTTATGGATGGTAATTATCTTTTAAGAACTCGTAGTTTCACTTTCATTCGTAAGTAATTATTTTTCAATTACGACAACACATTGCTGACGTACGAAGTTACGAGTGATTATAAAAAGTGATGTAAGCAACAAGATAGTACTTTAAAGTATTTTTTAGATAACATTGGATTATAGCGCGAATATTGGAAATAAATGATTAATTATTCATTCAAATGTGAATAAATATTACACACAGTCGAGTATTAATTTATTTTGAAATTTTTTCTTTTAGTTGATTAGATACATAAGAAAAGTGTAAAAGTGCAATTCCAGTGATCTCGTAGAAAATATACGGGGGCAAAAATGGTACACAGTATATCGTGAGTTTCCTGAAAAAACACGGTATCGTTTTTCTTTCTCTTTACTTGTTCGTCGTATTGTGTCGTTTGCATTTACTACGTACTTTTTAAATATTATTCATTCATATTTATTGTTTTGTCTATTTACGTCATTGTTAGATTCTATTTTTGTATCATCATTATAGCATTACGTGTTTCTATTAATGTTATTTTACTATTAACTATAGTCATTCGAAATGTTTAATCGACATAGAATAAAGAGAATTGATACTATAACAATGTATTATAGATTGAAAATTGACATATAATATAAAACTAAGAAACCGAAGGAATAGTTAAATAACATAAGGAAACAAAACGAGCATTTGCCGATAACTTCGTTCTTATCTAAAGCGCATAAGTTTCAGGTTTCGAAATTTAAGCATCTAACGAAGGCTATGATTAACGTAATCATATCTCCTTGTTCGAGTTTTTAGTCCAATGTAATATATACGAACAAAAGATTTGCATGTCTCTCGTTAAACATGAAAGAGGAAAGGGGAACGTAAACTGTTATCGAATGATTTTCGAAGATATAGATTAGGTGAATTTTGTACATTTTGATTAATACAATTTTGATAAATTTAAATGTACATTTAATTATGAATCAAAAATAGTATTACCTTTAATTTATATCTGGTCTTGGTATTTTAACACATTACTTTTGGTCATTTGTTTATAGCAGATAGGGACATTGTTCTTAGGTCTATAATGTGGTCAGGTAGTATTACTAAAACTAACTGCTCAAAGGGTTAACGAGCGTGGCTTGTTAGATTAGCTACCATTATCTTCTCTCGTAGTTCTACTTCGTAACATAAAAAAATACAGCCTTTTTTTTAACACATCTTGCCTTGTTAAAAAATTCCTGTCGATAATACAGCTCATTCGCTCATTTTCCTCTATATTTCATTTCCCTGTTCAGTTATCTGTCATACGTTGTCGTTTTAAGCATAGGCGTATATATATATATATATATATATATTATTTTACATAAAGTGAAACAAAAATAAAACGTAAGAAAGGAGAAAAATAATTGTAAAAGTGATATAGTTGGATGAGTCATAAGAGAATTTACAGACGTACCAAGGTCATGAATATAAGTAGAAACATCTAAGGAACTCAGTGACGGGATAAACTCAGCCTTGGCAGTAATTCATAGCAATTGCAGGAGGCGAGCTGCTAATGTGGGCTTGATATCTCGAGAGATGTTTCCTCGTCTCTCTTTCTCTCTTTCTCACTTCCTGACCTCATCCGTCCTTTAAATTCTCGTGCGGTCATCTACCCGTGGAATATTTACCAAAAAAAGAAACAACCCTTTCGGATACTTTTAACGAGGTAACGTTTACAAATTATTGGAAAAAAAATTTACCGGTCGAACCAATACCTAAATGAACTTTTCGATCTTGACAACAACTGAAATTAATTAAGATCACAAAGTTATATTTAAGATTATCGAAAAGTAATAAAAAAAATCGTAAAGCTAGAAAGTTATATAAAAAGAAAAAAAAAAAAAAAAAAAAAAAAGAAAGAAAAAAAAAACACGGCGACTATTTTGAACGATTCTATTGACTATATTACGAATTCTTTTGTCTCTTTTGTCTCTACTCTATAAGTAATGTTGGATATGTCGAAAAAGTTAATGTCTTATGGTATTTCGGATTTAATGGAATTTTCGTGGAACGTTGGACTCCTATCGATGGAATTTTGGCAGGAATGTAGATTCTAATTAGTGGCAACTCGACGAATAATTATATCTCGAATGGCGGAAATTTAGCGGAATGTTCTGGGGCCTAACGGCGAATCCGAAGTTTCAGCCTTCGACGGCAATGGCGGCAAATCCCACGCTCGTTTCTACCTAAATATTTCCTAACGATCTACGCTATTCATTAGGTATTATCTCCAACTTGGTATTTCGATCGTTTGTGTTCGTATATGTTACATCCTACGATTCATTAACTCTACCATTCCATCATTCATTTGATTTGATGCGAAAAATATCCTTTTGCCATGGAAAAATTATTAAATTTTAAATAAGTAATTATATCTCTGACGGCAAATACGTAAGTTGAAAATATAAATGATAAAATAACATGCGGAATCTTTATATTCATAAATGTGATGTGAGTGTTTTAGGGATGCTCGTGTAAAGGATTATTTGTCGACAAAATCTGAGAAAGCAGAATCCTCGGTAATCTTTTAGAAGGCTTTTAGATTTATTTTTACTTGAAGAATATCCCTTGAAAAAGAACTTGCTCGTAATTTTCAAGAAAAATTGTTAAATTAAATCAAAATATTTGAGTATTTTTAAAATTGAAAACAATTACTTAATAATATTCAATTTCAATGATTCTTTCATATAAATGAACATTTTTCATATATTTCATTTACAAAACGATCAATTCGAATTTCAATGTACTTGAGATATCCGGAAGAGAATGAGTATAAGTTCGATTATCGGAGAAAAAAAGAACAAAAACCTTAAGGAACTTTAAGATTCAATAAGATTCACAAAAAGAAAGAAAGAGAGAAAGAGAGAGAGAGAGAGAGAGAGAGAGAGAGAAGTACTTATTGGCGATGGTATTATAGGCCCAGTACAAGTAAAACTCGAGATCGAATTCGTGTACTGTATGGAGAGTCCATACGAGAGAAATCCCAAGGAAATTGAACGCGACTCTGTGTTGCGATAATTAATGTTACGCGAGCGGGCAAGTTTCTTAAGTGTGGGTATACCGGTTTCGCGAACCGCCCCGTCGAGCAATAATCAACGGTCCCGCATATCAAAGGAATCAACTGGATTTTGCCGTTAGTTTAACACTAAGGAACAAAACAAATAGCTGTGTCACGTTATTCTAATTGAGTGGACATAGTAAAAATCTATAGTTTATGTGCGATTGCTTTTTTCATTTATAATGATTTCATTTTCCTAAAATAATGGAAGAACGGTAATAGAATAATTATTCCTGAGAGTATTATATTATAAATGAACGAACATCTTCCTAATTGGTTCTATTTTAAACTCTTATATGAAATCAAACTCATAACTTGTTTGCAATTCTGATCTGTACTCATTTATCGGATAAATTTCTATTAAAATCACTCGTAAAGATTTGTTCAATCGACGCAAATCTTAACCAGCATATTCTGACCACGTAGCACGCATCGTACATAACGGGAGAGTAATAAAACTTGTCGTAAAGGAATCTCTAACGGTTTAATATCAATAAATATATTTTCTGAATAATATGCTGTAGTCTTCCCTAGTTTTGAATTAGCGGAATATTGCATCTCTATGATTAAAAGTATAAGATTATAATTAAAAACTGAAATTTTTTTTTAACATTGACATTGATTATCAAGTTACATTGGAATGAAATGAATGTAGAGATGATATTAAAGTATATGTATATATCGTTTTAGATAATTACAAATTATAATTTGTCTGGAATAATTTTGTCCTTTTATTTTCAAATTAAAATACCAAAATGAAATACGCGATGTTGGGCATACTTTTAAATTTTTTTCCAAAAAAGCTTTTTACAAAATGAACGATACTCATTTGTTTTTTTCTTTTTTGTGATTGCAAGAATTCAATTATAATAATACTCGAGTGAACAGTACAGATAATGATCTCCAATATCTTTTAATTTTTCATTCAAACAATTTCAACCATATTATATTATAAAAATAATTTTCTCTAGAGAAAAGGACAACAAATTTTCATAAATTAATAAATCAATCAAGGAAAAGAAATTAAAATAAATAAATAAATTTATTTCATTTAACAAATCTTTTCTTCTATTTCACATAACTTTATATAAACAACAGTTATTATTTTCAGTTGATGTTCAATAGGTTAAATATCTTTGGAATCCATAAAGTTTTAATTATTTCTAACTTCTCATGCTTTCAATTATAAGTTACTTGAAAGTTGTCCTTCGTGAATAATAACGTTTTGAAGATCTGCACATTATCCCCAATTCACATTTCGAGAACAAACTCGAGTACGTTGAATCCGAATTTTGTTTTTCAAAAGTAAAATTTCTTTATTTTTATCATCTCTATTAAAAGCCTCCTTTGCAATTTAATACTTACATACATTGTATTGATCTCATAAAATGTGTATGGATCATCAAAAGAGCTGCTTTATTTGCTTTTTGATTGCGACATTCTCTAAAGGAAAGATAATAAAGTTGAAAAAAAAAGTATATATTTCTTCGTAATTTTCGCGTGTTCCCTCGAGTTTCTCCCCTCTTATGTAGAGAAAAAAGGATCGTTCTAAAGGGATTCAGAGCGCATCTTCGCGAGCGTTTAAAGTCACCAAAATACGCGTAGCATTAACGAGCTTTCTCTCTTTCTTTCTCTCTCTCTTTCTCTCTCCTCTCTCTCTCTCTTTCTCTCTCTCTCTTTCTCTTTCTCTTGCTTTTGAAGAATTCCACTCTCTGGTTGTACCATGGAACGACGAAAGCCACGGTTATTTCAGGCCGCTTAATGAAAAGGGGACATTAATTTATAATTTACATTGGGCCAATTAAAGGCCAATTAAATAGCAAGGGGTTTAATTTGCGCCAGCGAAAGAGGCTGCTGTTACTCGGTACTGCTTGCTTGCTTGCTTGCTTGCTTGCTTGCTTGCTTGCTTGCCTGCTTATCCCCACCACTTCACCTTACGCTATACCCGCCCGTGTGTGCACGTTTTTCCAACGATAAACTGCGGTATCGTATCAAGTAGTGAACTCTCTCGTTGTACGTACGTTTAAAAATAATTTCGTACATATTCCTTAACCATGGAAATTCTAGGTCTTTTTTTCTTTTTTTTTTTTATTCTGAAAAAACCGTTGCTGCAATGGGGAGAAGCGAGCGGAGCATTCATAATAATTGCTAGGGGGAAAGAATTGAGAGATGTATGTATGTATGTAATAAAATACGTACTTTAAATATAGGAGTTAGATATAAATGACTTACGATGAATAGAAGGAAATAAATTATTCTTAATATAAAAATTAAATATCATTTATAAAATTGTCGATATGTTGATATGTTGACTAATCATTTTTTATTCAATTTAATGAACACTACATATCTTCTAAGTCCTAAGTTTATATTCTTAACACCCTATACATGATCTTAACATGATAGTAGAGAATGTACCGGTTGAGATGATCTCTTCGTTGGGATTTAACGGAAGACTCACCCACGATCCGTGGGAATGAAAATGACGGGAATGACCTATGAGGTAGTAATCTTTATATTCGTGGCCGGTTCTTAAACGGTTCTTAACTGTATATACGAGAGAATCAGGATTCAAGGGTAAGGATAGAACGAAGGAAGAGGTGAAACGTCGCCTACGTTGTCAGAAGATGGAGGAGGGAGAGAAAGGAAAAAAATCAAACACCACCCCTTACCCCTTTCCCTCCACTAAAGTTGCAGCTCGCCGCTAGCATGGAAACCTGTCCCTAATTGATAGGAAATTCCTGCGCACGGATACCTGCAGGATTTTTCAGCGTCCGTAACAGGTTGGAACTGGATACTTCGCGACGATTTGTAACCGTGCGCTTCGACCGTATGCGGCTTGCGTCTCTTCAACTGAGAAACTCTTTGACTACTCCCCAACAACGTACCATCATTCGATTGGTTCATTCGTTCATATTCAAAGTGGAAATGGGGTGTTTGTTCTCTTTTCAGTTGAATTTATGAAATATCTTTAATGAAGTAAAATAAATTATCGGTTGTAAATGATAAATTTAATCGAACGATTGATTTGAATTTTCATTTAAAGAAAGATATGAAGAATTTAGTGATTCGAAAAAGTGAGTGAGTAAGCAGAAAAATAAGGGAAAGAGAGAGAAAAGACGCAAGATCACGTAGGTGCGTGTGCAATTAACGACAACGAGGTGAGTATAATGAAGACCGGTCGAGTACTGTCCGTGCTCGAAGAGAAAGGAAAGAAAAGGGAAAGAGAAAAAGAGAGAGAGAGAGAGAGAGAGAGAGAGAGAGAGAGGGAGAATGTCTCCGGATGCCGTTCACCGGGCGCGAGAGAGACGTGAGAGACCAGTTCATTAGCGACACTCACGGTCTGCCTTCGCGACGTCTATCTTATTTATTCCCTTATTTTCTTCGTCCTTCTTCCCTTGCCGTCAGCTCGTGGCTACCATCGCTTCGTTTCTTTCGATCTCTCCCTCAACCGTCTTGCACGCTTTAACGCTTTCGATCATTCTTCCTCGTGATGCACGGACATGATACGACCTATATCCTTGCGTCGATTTTTTTTATTAAGTTTTTCAAAATGGCAACGTTCAATTGACTAATTTAAACGATATCAAAAGTTTTATATTTCATTTGGCCGATATGACGTCACTCATTTTGCTTTTTATTCCTGCTATTACAATGAAAAATTGTGAGAATGTGAAAATAACGATTAAGGATCCTTTGAAGGGCGCGAACTTCGTCGGGAGTTCTACGATGCAACTTATCGGAAACGACCGCCCAAAGTTTTAACGGGTCGTTCTCCTTTGACACGGTTGAACGAGTAAACGGAAAATTATGTATAATAAATGCTAAAGATGGATCCTCTTCGAGTTCACGCCAAAAGAAATTTCCATTGTTCCCGAGCTTATCGTAACTCAACGGACCAATTTTAATGTGTCTTTCTACAAACAAGAATTGCGGCTTATCAGAAAAATTCTTTTTCTTTTTTTTTTTTTCTTTTTTTTTTTTTTATAGATTTTATGTTATTTCGCAAATGACATTTCGTTATCGATGCCTTTAATAACATTGTTTTAGAATTTATATAGGCCGGAGATATTTTTTTTATGATAAGTATTTTAAAAGCTTTTCTCGTTTATCATCTGGCCAAATGGACTTGTCACAATTAAAGTAAATGAACATCAATCACGTGTGATCTGTTCTTAGTTAGTAGAAATGAAAAACTGAAGATCCCCTAAACGATCGCTCGGGCAGAAGAAAATGTTGTTCGCGTACGTTCGTGGTAACGTCATTAATCGCGATATATTCTCACGAAAACGCGTGTGATTTCGAGCCGGTGGAATCGATGGAGCGCGGAATCGGTCGTGGAGTACCGACCAATTAGTCGGTCGATGATTGGCGCGTGTAAACCGAAACGATGACGTCGCTGGCGAACCAACAACCAACGGCTTCGTCGTTCGTAAACCGGCCTCTACTCTCTCTCTCTCTCTCTCTCTCTCTCTCTCACTTTATCGCTGCTACCTGCCTACATACAAAACTAGAGGGGGAGAGAGGGAGAGAGAGAGAGAGAGAGAGAAAGAGAGTGAGACATACACAAGCTCACGTAGAAATATCCGTGTGGACGGTTACAGGCCGGACTAATGGAATTGATTAAAATGTGTTCGATCAACCGAACCGCGGGCCAGCTCTCTCTCTCTCTCTCTCTCTCTCTCTCCCTCTCTCTCTCTCTCTCCCTCACTCACTTACTCTCTTACTCACTCACGCACAAACGAGCAACCCTTTCCCTTCCCTTCGTCAACCGAGGCTGACCCTAGGACCTGGCGAACGCAATCGAATATTTGCGTTTAGGTAGGCACGTCGACGCGGAAAATGCTATCTTTGTCAATTAATTCAACCTGTTGTCGCCCGTCGTTCGTCGCTCGGACGACTATTCCGCTCGGTTCCCGGTATACGATCGGGAAAATTGGCGGTTTTGCGGCCGTTGTCTATGGACGAGGGACTCTTCGCTCCCATCTATCTCTATCTCTATCTCACTCGCTAGCTCGCTCAATCGGATCAACACGCTTGTACAATATTTCTCTTCTCTTCGTTTGCATGTTCGACACTTTTGGGATTACTAGAGATTGATATAGGCGACATCTTTAAAACTGGGTCAAGAGATTTTTCTTGATTCATGTGAAATCATGTTAAACGACTTTGAGATATTAATTGCATGATAAAATATCCCTTCATATAAAATATATTGACTATGGTTATGTTTCATTAATTTTATCGATTCTCGTGCAAGTTACTTTTTCTTTTTTATTACAAAAAAAAAAAAAAAAAAATATCACAGGAAACGAGGAAAAATTTTTACGCTGGGTTAACACCGAGAAGGATGACTACGGATGAAATCTCGACGTCATTATTCTCGCCACCGAATGATTCCATGCATGTCCGAGCGACTCTCAGATAGCAAATATAGCGATTATCAGAATTTCCCATGTGTCATCGTTGTAATCATGTACCTGACGCATACGCTCGTATACGATGAACTTCTCACGAGACGAATTGAACGAACGAAAGGGGAAGAGGAGGAGAGAGGTGAACAGAATGAGAGAGAGAGAGAGAAATAGAGAGAGAGAGAGAGCGAGAGAAAGAGAGAGAGAGAGAGAGATTGAGATCGAATACTCTATCCTGATCACGCGGAATACCTCACCGTTGGCTCGTTTGCTCAGAAAATTAACATATAAATTAGGCTCGAGCTGCAATCTCCATCCCCACGGCGTTACCCTCCTCCCAGCCCTCGGTCTCACTCTCTCAATTTTCCATTTATACGCTCGTATGCGTAGGCCATGTTCGATTTCGTCCTACGAAATGTTTTTCAATTGTCCGGAATAATCATCCGGGGCCGAGTGTGAACCCCAAAACCGGAAATCGTTACTGGTTTGACCCTTTCGAGGGTCAAGTCAGTCACGCTGCTTGGTTTCTCGTGCTTTCGAAAGGATATGCTGTTTTTAAGACGGCTCTGCGAAAGGACGGTGTAATGCTTCGGGATTGCTTTTAGAGAGGATTAAATTTTATATGTTATCGTGACAGGTATAAAAGAAAGGATTACAAGTGTTAAAGAAGTAAAGAAAGAAAAGAAAAAAAAAAAAAGAAAGGAACAAGAGAGAATACATTCGCGAATTTGTTGACTTTGTTTCTTTGCAATGATCATTTGTGATCAAGTCAACGGTATATTTACGATGAAAAATCAAGTGAAAATAATCGAGACATCGAATTGCAATGGATGATATTATCTTTATCACACTCCTTATTATTTTCATCGAATAAATAACTTCAATTTTCTAGCTAAAAAGAAATCTCCCTCGTTCATTGAAAATTACAAAACTTTTCTTAACAAACACGTTTAAAGATTTATACGGATATAAGCAATACAATACACCATATCAAATATTCTATATAAAGAAACGATGCAAAAGCGTTACCGATTTAGATATTTTTGGATTTAGTATAAAATCGACGGAAACGTTCGTATGCGCTCTAGGATTTGTCCTAAAAAGAAGGAAAAAAGGGGAACTCGACGGGCATAACCCACCGAACGAGAAAAGGGCGTGCGTCGAAGAAGTATATCGGTAGGGTAGGTGCCGCTGGTACCGGCACCTAATCAAGCAATAACTATTTGTCAGTTCCCCGGGCAACCTAAATCCAAGCTAATTCGACATCCGTGTCGGACACAGATTCGCTATCGGGTATCTCTTTCTATCTGGACGACAGCATATTCGCATTAGCCTGGCCCGCAACCCACGCTCGATCGACTCCCTCGACCACCGTCAGCAATCTCCCTCTCTCTTCTCTCCCTCCTCTAACTCTCTCCCTCTCTCTCTCTCTCTCTCTCTCTCTCTCTCCTGCTCACTCACTCACCCATCCCTCCGACCTTCCATGGATCCTTCTCCCTTTTCTCCCGTCAGTCGAGCACCTTCTCTTTCTCTTCCAAGTCTCGTCGACTAAGTATGCTATATACCCACGCGCAGCATCACACCATAGAAGCAGATCTCAACACGATTAGGGCGGTCCTCAATTCGACGTTTCGTCGATTCGGTCCTTTCTTTACTCGAACGATCTGCTTTTATACGAAATCTCACCGAATCATCCCGTTTTTCTTACCCCGTACGAAACCCCGACGACGACGACGTAACTCTGATGACCAACCCTTTTACATGTACGTTGAGGTTTACCTGTGTACATGTGTGCATGGATGTGTAAGTGGAGTTCTCTCTTGAAGATCGTACGCGAACGATGCTTTCGAAGAACAGATTTTATCATTCTCCTTCTTCAAGAGAAAATCGCTTTCCGATCCACCACTTTTTCTGTCCGCGAGTTTGTCAGCTAACTTACGATAAACTCTCCCTTCCCTTTTTCTCTTTATTGCCTTGGATCAACCAGGGGAAATGTTCTTCTAGGAGAAATGACGATTAGGAACCCTCAAGGCGTTCCTTTCATTTTCTGGTTCAAGAAAATTGTTTGTTATAATGAATAATATGATCAGGTCAATTTCTTTGTCTTTATTCTTTCCGTAACAGAATGATTAGTTTTATCATACATACGTAATTATTGTACATACGTATTGTATACAAGATCACATTAAAAATCTAATAAAATAATTTTTCAATTACAATCTTTATAAATTTCGTTCCTTATAGTTAGAAATCGATTTCAATGAATTTTCAAATCCACCAAATTCACAATTTCTATGAATGATTGTGGTAAGAAACGTAAAATAAAAAATACCTAGTCGCCAAAGATAAAAGCCGATATCGTCGAACGCTACAACTAATACCATCATGTTTGAAATCCATCAAGGCTTTCAATCCTTTATCTTAACGCGGTCTGTCAAGACCTTATCTAAAGTGATTCTCACTTTCAAAGGTAGGAAGAAGAGAAGAAAAGAGGATACCGATAACACGAAGTATGGGGAATTTAAGAAGCAAGAAAATAGACAGTGATGACTGCGACGGAGGATAAAAGAATACAATAAAAAAAAAAAAAAAAAAAAAAAAAAATAATAAAAATGAAAAAAAAATAAAAAAAAAAAAAATAAAAAAAAATGATAGAAAGAAAAAAGAAAAAGAAACACGACCGAAAAGTAAAAGGATTATAAATATTACCAAAGATTATCGCTCAATTAGTACGAAATATCCTGCGAGTTATCTAGAGAGGCACGCGAGCGTGAAGAAAAGCCCTAAAAGGATTTCAGCCGGAGAGAGAAAAAGGCTCCGATACGAAATTTTGTACAAGAGGAGGACAAAAGGGAACCAATTGGGCGACGATGAAATGGAGAAAGAAGGAGGATGAAGATAAGAAGCTACTCTTCCTCTTCGATTCGATGATGTACTTTAAAAACTGGTTTCTTTTTAACGAGACATCTCTTTCTTTTTTAACAGATTGATGGTAACACTAGTTACAAACGAATAAAACAAAGACCAAAATAGTCCGCGTGAAGATGGTCAAAATGTTTGAAGCAATACCATAACTCACGTATATAAATAGACAATGAATGCGAAGAACGTTAGTGGATGTCCTGGGTGGGTTCAATTAAGGCCCCATTACACTTTTACACAGGCAATTTTAAAGCTCGCAGCTGGTCGCGAAGTCGGGTATTATTTATCGGTTGACTTACGCCGAGCTCATTTACAGGATAAAAAGAAGGTCAGGAGTAAGAGAAGGGACAGAAGATGGCGCTGGTGATTACCAGTAACGTCGGCAGACGGGATTGGTCGATCTACGGTAAATCTACGTCTCGATTGGTCAACACGTGACTGTGGTAGGATTCCTTTCCTTTGAAACGGTCAGGCGCCGACGGCACGACGAGAGATGATAGAATATCTTATTAGTCGGACAATGGGCAATCAGAGACGCCATACAGCCTCTCTGTTAGCGGTCCAGTCTCTCTCTCTCTCTCTCTCTCTCTCTCTCTCTCTTTCCCTCTCTTTCTTATTCTCTCTTCTTCTTCTTAGTCCATACATCTGTCTGTCCTACGTACGCTTAGTGTTCGTGGTTATCCAAGGTTACCTTCCGAGTCAACTTCTTTAACTCTCTTCTCTTTCTTTACTTTCTTCTTTTGTCTTTTTAATCAACGATAAACAAAAAAACAAAAAAAAAACACGCAAAAAATTATTACAGTTCCTTTTTTCTCAATTTTCATTTTATAGATTTCCTTTGGATAATTATACAACGATATAAAAATGTTTCCAACGATATTCAGTAATTTGGAATAAAAAAATAATATCGTTATTAAATAAATTATCGTTCATATTTATCGCAGATAACAAAGTGTCGTATAAATAAGGAAAAATAAGGAGGAAGGAAGAAGACAAATCGTTATTCATCTTTACCTTTCTTCTCTTATCACATCGTTCGACATTATCAAGAACTACTTACGAATCGAAGCTTTGATACTGGACATCGATAAGCATTCCCTTCTGGAATACTTATCCAGTAAAGGATCTTGACGATCATACGGAGGGATAATACGACGTAAAAAAGCAAGGAGAAGAATCCTTGTGAATCAGAAGAAAAGCCAAAAATCCCTTTGGGTGTTCGAAGATCCAGCCGGCGATATAAAAGAAACCGTCAGACGAAAAGTCGTGAAAGACAGTATATCTCTACCGTGGTCTGGATTTACCAAGTTACTGTCCTCTCACTGTCTTCTTCTATTTTCTTACTCTATCTATCTTTTTCTCTTCTTTCCCACCAGATAGTTCTTTGGTTACGAATCCGACATACAATCGGAGGTAATAATGATAACTCGATGGAGGAAGACGAAATCGGGCGATTTACTCGCACGGTGAGGAATCTCCTGGAGTTCAGAGGGCAGCGCCCTTGCTGCGCGTTAACTCACCCCCGCTGGGCGCACAGCAACATGCGATGCTGCTAGGGTTGATGAATGGATCCTACGTAACGCGTGCGTGCGTCCGCGCGCGCGCGCGCGCGCGTGCTCGTTCAAAGAGCGCGTTGAAAATCGGACGGATTTTCGCGCAATGATTAAAATGACGTATTTCTGTGATTCAAATTTTATCATGAATATTAACCCCAATAAAATATCTGGAAAAGAGAAGTTAAACCAACAACGATGAACTTACGTGAAAATATACAAGAATTTTTCAATGATCATATCATTACAAAATTGTTTTTCATTTGTTATTATTTTATAGAAAGATTTATCTATTCTTCGTGATTACTCAAAGAGATGTTCATTTAATTACGATCGATCATCATTCCAAGGGGAGTTTCACAGACTTTTGGAAAGTTTCGTACACTTCGTATAAATGTCTCGATTTGGATAGGAACGTTTGAAATACCGTTAACGCATTATTGTCCGGTCTAAGTCGCGTATAATATTACGCCTTCTATATACCTTGAAATGCAATAAATACGTCACACGGTACGTTGAGTTTCATAAATGTTTCATTGCTTCTATATAAATGCGTTTGCCTTGACTGTGGTGCTACGCTCTCGCGCATAAATGTTTTATTCGTACAATTACAGATAATGGACTCACACGCAAACCTTAACATTACATCATGATAAAAATAGTTTCTCCTTGAAAGTGGTTCGAAGGATCGCTCGAACTAAAAGTTATGATCCCTTGTAAGGGATATTGAGCTACGAGTGACGAGAGTTGTTTTCGAGGGTGAATGTATTTCGGGTATTTATTTTTTATCGAAACGACGTTTCAGTATTTTTAATCTCACTATAATTTGTTATAATGTAAGACATTACTTTGTATCTTTGTTAAAAGTTAAAAATTTTTCCATTTTAATCGTAAAATAAAAGTAGCAATATCTTTTTGCAGGATATTGAAGGAGCGTTGATGAATTTGTCATTGAGATATTTGTCAATTGTCAAATTGCGTTTTAATGAATGAACGAGGAATAAGAAGAAAAATAAGAGGAAAGAAAGAGAAAGCAAAAGAATAATAGAAAGCAAATTGGCTTGCTAGCTGACAAAGACAGACAGACAGGTCTGAGCAAAAGCGAAGAGGGCATCGTGTTTGAACTCTAAGAGGACTTTCAATGCTCTTTCCCAATGAGAAATAAAAAGATCAAGCTGCGAATTTGCCGATGGAAGCCCAGCTTGATTTATTAATTCGATTAAACCTTATAAGCGGTGTACCGATGTTTAATCTTACTTGAGCGCGAAGCAACCATTTTTACATAGTGCCTACTCTCACGCGAGCCACTTCGCGCTACTCGATTGTTCTTGCTATGGATGATTCTCATGAGAGAGTTCGACTCTATTATTATGCTCTCCCTTTTTATCTCGTTTTCGCAACCCGTCGATTTATTTTACGATCATCGCCGTACAAGTACGTTTCAAACAATCCTTTTAACGATATGCGATGGTTTTTTATTAAAAATTTCTATATTAGCTTGAATTTCTATTCTTTCATAAGTAATTAGAACCATAAGAAATATATTTTTGAACACAGTATTAATAAATTGAGATAATGTTTGATACTCTTCTCACAAATCTTTGAACATCGAACATAACCATTAATGGATATTCTATTATAAATGAGGATCGAATATAAAAATCTTATCAATTGATCAAATGGGATTTTTTAGAATGCACGAATAATCTGCAACAAGAAACAACGATCCTAGAAAGCAAATAGCCAATATGGGATAGAATTTATCAACTGCGCAAATTCCACGAACGATTGCCATATAAGTGATCCGCGCCCTTTTACGACGACCGGTCCCATAATCTACATATTACTAGCATAATCATGTAGCCGTTGTGAGCGGTACCTTTAAGATCCTCGCCACATAACCGTAAGATTTTCAATTTCCTCTTTATCCTTACGAGCACCCCTTTCCCCCTTTCACCCCCTCACTATTTTCTCTCTTTTTCTTTCTCTTTCTTTCTTTCTTTCTCTCTCTCTCTCTCTCTCTCTCTCTCTCTCTCCTCGGAGAGTAGCTATATAGAGTATCACCCGACTGTTCACCCCTCTCCGGCCATCTCGTCCGCTCCATTCATTAACGTAACACGATTTATCAATTAGCGTAAAAGGCAGCGATAGATAGTCGTTCTGATATGTTGCCCCGACGTGTCCTCTCTCTCTCTCTCTCTCTCTCTCTCCCTCTCTCCCTCCCTCGATCAGGGCTTTCACGGGAGGTATACCCAACCACGCATGCTATATATGTATATACATATACACGTATACGTATATACATGTACACTTATGTATATAGGAGTAACCACCCACGCACACGTTCATCCTCTCTCTGTCTCTCTTACTCTACGTTGGACTGCCACCAAAATCGTGATCAAGGGAGAGGAGGGAAGTATTCCTACGTAGCGAAGGGTTGCACACGCTTTCGGTAATGGAAAAGTGGGATTTCGGATTTAAAGTGCATATCCGAATCGAGTTACTCCGACGTTTCCTTCGATATGTTTTCTCTCTTCTTCTATCCCTCTCTCGTTTTTGAACTCTTTGAAAACGAATCGATGTTAGATCACAAAGTTCTATAACGAGATGGACTCAAGTGCGATGGTTAGGATGAACATGAGGATTAGGTGAGTTGCATAGGCTAATCAAGATTAAAACAAATAACTTTTCGGTTCCATACGATTCGTTTGAACTAGACGTATGTTGTGTGTTCCCAATAAATGGCGGGAAGTCACGAGAGGGAAACAAAAAGTTAATTGGATCGATTCAACTTCAAGTCCTTCAATTCTAAAGTGATCACAATGACGTGAAACGTTCGTAACTGGTAGAAGGAACAAGTCGTACAGGCGTTTAAAATAGGTGCGACCGAGGGTGAAAGAGAGATGGAAAGATAGGAGAAGAAGGAGGCAAAGAGACACAAAGTCAGGACGGGAATTAATTTCTTCTTCAATAACAGTTTTGCGCCTCGCTGCACACGGATGCCACTTTGCAACCACGAGTCCAACTATGGAGACTGCATTCCTGGCAGGTGCAGTCGTCGAGCGGAAGTGGCCAAGTGCGCCCGCGCGCACATTCAACACCGAGAAAGAGAAGAAGAGAAAGATGAAGAAAGAGAGAGAGAAGAAAGATGAGAAGGTGATGCGGCTTGGATCGTTGGAAAAATGTTCTCAACTACTCTCTCTTTTTCTCTCTCTCTCTCTTTCTCTCTCTCCCTCCCTCAATCTTTCCCTTTCTCTCTCTCTCTCTCTCTCTCTCTCTCTCTCTTCTCCTCGTACTCTTCATCTACTCTCAGAGATTGATCTGATTCAGCGAAGCGTTCAACGACGTTGCCTCGGACCGATCGACTTACCGATCGCTTACGATGGGTGTTTTGTGTATCAGCGTGCGGCTATTTCGATGGCAAATAATTTTGCGTCAATCTCTGTTGTGGCCTTCATATCTTTTTTTTTTTTCATCCTCTTTTTGTTTTCCTTCTTCGTCGACTTGCATCGTTTTCTATAGAAAAAATGAACGGATAACGGATAACATTTTTCGTTTGCGTCACGCTCGACTACCCTACCGGACGTATTTTAAAATAGTTATTGAAAATTTGTGATTTTTATTTTTTTATTACTTGTGTCATGAAATAAGCGTATATTGTTGATTAAATTACATTGCCTCACTGGTATACGTGTGTAAGATTAGATGAAAATAAGTTATCTTTTTCGACCGGTATCTAGCAATAAAATAAACAGTAGTTTATACGAGTAGCAAATCTAAAAGAAAAAGAAAAAGAAAAAGAAAAAAAAAAAAAGAAAAAAAAAGAACAAAAAAAGAAAATTAAAAGTACCAAACGAGACACATAAAAAGCAACGATTTCGCACTCGCTTGCCATCACCAATTTTCGTCCCGTCGTCGTTGAAAATCGATTGGTGAGTCTCCCTCTCTCTCTCTCTCTCTCTCTCTCTCTGTTTCTATCTCTCTCTCTCTCTCTCTCTCTCTCTCTTTCTCTCTCTCTGCTGCCTTCATCGTTCGTTTCGATTAATCGAAATCATGTAGCACCACTTGCATTTCCAGTGTATATCCGCACAAGCACGATGCACGTTCTGAAGGAATGCGAATAGCAGAGGCGTGCCGACGATTTGCAAGAAGGATCGAGACTTCAGAGAGTTAGACGGAGAGGGAGAAAGAGAGAAAGAGAGAAGAGTGAAAAAGAGAAGAAACGAGACGAAGGGGAAAGATTCCGTTCTCGGGCCGGTTCCTACAGCGTCTGGTAATGAAGGTGTTATTAAATAGATTGAGATTAATTGCGTGATTAGTGCTTTATGTGTAATTGGATAGCGTACCAAGGGTAAAGATGAGAAAGAAAGACAGAAAAAAAAGGAAGATGAGGGAAGGGGAAAATTAAATTGCTGTTCGTATATGTGTTTGTATCCTGAATTCGCTCCTATCTTTTCCTTTTTTGTTTGTCTTCTTTACATTGGAGTTTTGCCAGGAACAATTTCGTCGACTTACACACTAATGATCATCAATCTAGTTTCTTCAATATTACGAAAAAAAAGATCAATTTTATTTATTTTTTTTTTTCTCCTTTTTTTTTATATAATCTCATATTGGATAAATGTACTACTTATCGAATAATTTGACTTAAAAAAAAAAAAAAAAAAGAAATTGTTATATCCTTTATAATAAATATTTAAATGAATAGTACAGAAATGGAATGAAGAATTTGATTAACCGTGATAAAATGAGAATTTTGAGAAAGGAAAGAAAGACAGGTGCAGAAACGAAAGAGTAAAAGTTGAAGGATACGAGGTCAGAATTAAATGGAAAGGGTGAAGAAAATGTGATGGTGGTAGTAGTTTATCGAATTAAGGCAATTAGCGGCTACGATCGTTCTCCCGCGGTGCCACTTAACTGCCTATCTTCGTGAACACTCGAAAGCTTTTTCGCTTTCCAGCGCGAGAGATAAGTTTATCGCTCCGAGGCACTGTTCGCGCGCGCGTGCAAATTCTTTACTACTTTCAAGCGACAAATATGACGCGGATAACAGGATGCAAAAAAAAAAAGAAAAGGAATATCATGATTGGTCAGTTTTCGATACATTAGTATAGTTAGATAGTAATGAAAATTCTCATATATTCCGGATGAAACGATATATGTGATTTTACATTTCAGAAAAGTTTTCTATTGTTAAATTACTTCGAGTAATATGTTTATTCGCGATTATACTTAAATTATAAATTCATAAATATTGCTCGTTTATTAATACAAAATATACAGATTATTTAGTTTCATTAAATGTAGAATGTTTATCTTAGAATTATTATCTTATGTATTTTTTTGGGATAAATCTTTTCTTAAACAAGTACTTTGTCTCATATTATATGAATTTGTTCTTAAATATCATGACCATATATACACCGATATATATATATATATATATACCAAGTATTATAAAACTGATTAACATTGTAAAGGAAGAATAACAATAATGTGTACTAAAAACAATAAAACTGAGAACAATCGGTTCGATAAATATTTCATGTCTATTTCCCTTACCCTGGGGTATCGTACTAACAGCCGAGCTTCTAGAGTTACAAATTTTTCGCTGCACCATCGTAAACGGCCTATAAAAATTCGGTACGGCCATTTTAACTTGTCACAAAAACTGCTCCGCGCGGCTGGCGGTTCAATTTTGTTATTCGCCCTTCGTGAGATGGACTCATAATGGTGATTACGCTTTCAGTGACGCAACTGGCTATTCCGGTGCCTTAACCCAATCTACTTTTTGTTTGTTTGTGTATATTATATACTTTCATAGCTTGAAGTAACGAAGTAAGAGAAAACAACCTGCTAATTCATATTGGACTTTTTATATTTATTCTTTATTTTTATCTTTTTTTTTTTCTTTTTTTCTCTTTTCTTTTTATGAATGGAATATCGGCATTCATGTGTGTATATTTTCTTAATGAAATATTTATCGTAGGATATGTCTATTTATAAGTCACTAATTATTATTTGTTTTCATGGCTAGTTTTCACATTTCATTGTTTGTTAATGTGTGACAAATGTCATTCGCTGAAGAATAATCAGCTAAGAGGGTCGTAGATAAAGGTGGAAGTGGATATATATATATATATATATATATATATATATATATATTCGCATATACGTTGACGGTCAGGACGAAGTTGGTTAAATCGAAAATCCGCCGAAGCTAAAAGTCCACAAGCCGACTCCCTGACAAAGGAAGGACTTTTCCCGATTTTCGCATTTCGCGCACGTTTAGGCCCGACCTGCTCAGTAGCCTCTCTCCTCACCACGACGCGCTTTTCGTCGTTTCTCGAACGCGCTGCCCGAAAACTCTCTTTTAATTTTCCAGAAAATTCGAATAAAGTTGCCTGTCCAAGCAGAGAACGAAGCGGCCAAGGCATTATGCAGGATTCGTCCATGCACGTCCGGTCCGTGGTAACATTTTAAACTCGCATTTGGCTGGCTTGAGCCCTAACTTTATCCCCGGGATTTCGAAGCCGCGCGATGCGACAACGTGTACCATCAAAACGACGTTTCGATAGCTACGTTCAACGTCCATTCTCTTTCTCCTTCTCCGTCCTTTCTCTCTCCCTCTCTCCCTCCCACCCTCCTTCTCTCTCTTTCTCTCTCTTTTTCTCCTCTTTCGACTTCACGACAAAAAGAAAAGTTTAGCGTGCTTCCGCTCTCTTTTTCTTTCTCTTATCCCTTTCCATTCTTTTTTTTCTCTTTTTCTCTTTTTCTCTTTTTCTCTTTTTCTTTTCGTTCATCCTTTTTTCAACATTCGTTTTTGCTATGCTATAGAATATACACGTAAATAGATTGTAAAATAAAACAATTTTCTTAAGTACCTCCATCGGTAATAATAATTATCCTCTTCGATAGTAATTAAAGTTTCTCGGGTAAAGGTACGCTTTAACATAATTATTTTAACAGTAGAAAGAAAAAGAAGAAGAAAAAAAAAAAGAAAGAAAAAGAAAAAAAAAGAGAACAAGCTTAGAATTTTTCATTATAAAGAAATTTCTCCGTGGTTCTCTCCATTGGTCTCCTCGTCATCGGATTCCGTTATTTAGCACCGTAAGAGAGCTTACCTTCCGCTCTCAATATCCCAACATGTTCTCAATTTGATGACCGATGGCCAAAGTTATTCCAGCCGCAAATTCTTTCGCTTCGTCATCCCGAACCTTTTCCATCGATCTTTATAGCGTGAATAAGTCTGTGCATCAAGATTTATATCGACCTATGGAAGGTGAAATCATAGTAAGGAAGAATCTATGTGGGGAACGTGAAAACGTTAAAGCCGAAGTTTAGAAACATTATTGCTTTATTTTTCTACAGATAATTTATATAAATGATTCTCAAGCTAAGGGAATAGTTTAAAATCAAAAAGGGAAGATTTAAAGAAATGTGATTAAAAAGGATTAAGATGAAGAAATAAGAAGATAGAGAAATAAATGGAACAAAAGCTTAAAAACCTGACGGATAAACTACGTAAACATATGACACACCGCTTTTATCTCTCACTACTGTCCCTAAGCGATCGATGACCCCGAAATCGGACGGCGCGTAGTTGTTGAAGAAGAAGAAGAAGAAGAAGAAGAAGAGGAAGAAGAAGAAGAAGAAGAAGAAGAAGAAGAAGAAAAGGAGAAGAAGAAGGATGAGGAGGAAAAAAGTGTACAGGTGAGTGAGAGAGAAAGAGAAAGAGGAGGCACCTCGGCCCTATTAAAAAGCCCGTTTCCGCCTCCGTTTCTGAAAGCCTCTTACGGTACTCGAGGCAACTGCGAAAGCACTTGAAAGCTCCTGAAAAGCTCGACGACACTTCCCTGTTTGAGTGCCACGTCTCGCCAGGAGGTCGCTCTGCGACTTCGCACCCTGTCACCAAGATACGCGAGAGTCACCCTGTGTGTTGCAATATCGACTCTATCCTATGTATTAAACATCGAGTACCCGCTACCCGCACTCTACTCCTATCCCTACCATCCATACCCACTCACATCCTCTCATCTTCTCTTTCTCTTCCTTTATTCTTTCTTTTCTTTTACTATACTCGATGTCAGTTTTAGATCGACCCTTAAAGTTCTTAACCAATGGATTTCAAGGAAACTTCAAGGAATCACTGGTGATCATTTGATAATCTGAAGGAATATCTAAAGAAAGAAAGTTAAGAGAAACAATTACAATTACACAATAACGTAACACGATAATACTTCGACATAAATTCAATCGATGTATGGCTATCGATTTTTCTTTTCTAAGATACGTTTATAAAAAAAAAAAAGAAAAAAAAGAAAAAAAAGAAATACAGTATAAACTGTACTCTAAAAAAGGAACGGAAATGATCAAAGGATTCAGCAAGTCGTGTACTTACCATAGAGGTTCCTAAGAAGGCGTTAAAATTAGTGGAGAACGACACTCCTACTCGATAAATCTCGGCTAGACTATTCTTTTCCTTGCGAAAATTCACGAGGGAGTAAGTTAGTGTTCTATCGGAAAAATAGAGAAAGAGGAAGAAGAGGCGAAAGAGAGAGAGAGGGAAAGAGAGAGAGGGAGAGAGAGAGAGAAGGAGGAATGGAGGAAGGGAGGAAGACCATGAGTAGGTAGCGACGAAACGAAGTGGGAGGAAAAGAATGGAAAAAAGAGGAAGAAGGAGAGCTAGAAGGGAAAAGTAGTCGGGCGCCTGTAATCCGCGTGTTGAAGCGTACTCGGCCGGAGGTAACAGGAACATACATAATGCAGTGTTTCTACTGTAGACGACCAATCGTCGGCTTTCTTAAGAGAAAATGGACCAATAGCTTTGCACCTCTAAAGCTTTATTCTCTTGAGCTTTATTAGAATATATTACAATATGGAGTTAAAAAAGTTAGAATGATATTGATTCATACCAACGTGGGACATTAATGAAGGCTGAGGGTGAATTGTTCATTCTGCAACAGTATTTGTAGAATAGATATTTCAAATTCATTGAACATTCCAGAGACATAATTTTATTAAGCAGCTTCAAAGAAATATTCCCAATTGTAATAATGAGTGTTTGCATGTTAAACTAGAGCAACACGTAGGTCACCGTATAAGCGATTTTGGCCAACGACTCGGCCACTTTCCCTTCTACCTTCATTCCCCGTACACTTCCTCTTACTCTCACACACTTGCCGAGCTAAATGAAACAATTCCTGAAATTCTTCCTAACTTCCCTACCGGTGGAGGCTGAGTGTCGGTTAATTTCTGGACACGACGAAGGTGGTAGTGTCGAAAGGGTTGGAAAGTAGTAGTAGGATGGTGGAGCAGCCTCGCTTAATCTGGCGCAGTTTAGACAATTTAGCGCGGTTTCCCGGTTAGCGTCAAACATAACCTCGCCACTTGGCCGGGTGTAAAGAATGGCGCTTGTAATGTCGGTCCACGATGCGGAGTTACCCAGAAACTGTATGAGGAAGAAGTGAAAACGCTAGAGAATTGGAGAAAGAGAAAGAGAGAGGTAGAAAGGAAAGAGAGAAAGACGGAAGGTATGTGCTTACGAGTTACCGAAGCAAGAGGGTAAGAGGGGTAGCTCGACACCTAGGATAACCCAGCTCTTTAATTTAAAGCCACCGGACAGTAATTAAAATAACCATCCCCGGCACATACTCTGTAAAGGGGTGCCCAACTGGTTCAAGACGTTTGCACACGATTTCTAGCAGGTGACTCATTTTTTCTACGTACCCATGAATCTGAAACAGAAATTGAAAATTTATATGAAATATTTTTTTTCCGTAACATTTAAAATTATAATAATTAAAAGTTAAAGAGATAAAATTCAATGAGATCTCCTTTTGCAAATTTCGAAATTCTAATATGCCCTTATGTAATCAATGAGCGCCTTCATTTTATCAGTATAAAATGAAGAATTTATGGGTTTTTTTTTTTTTTTTTTTTTGAAATTCTAATGCTTCCTTTATTGCTAACTTAAATCGAATACTGCTAACTTAAATCGAAACGTTGAACATCCTAAATTATTCAAAATCAAAAATTTATTTTTACAATTATGATACTGCGATATATCACAGACAATATTGTTTTTCTTGAAAAACTTGAAATTATGTCATTTTTGATATTAATTAGAATTGAATTGTCATAGTTAGACGATCATTGAACATTTACGCCTGTCCATAAAAATTGGAAAATGTAATTTATCCAAATTGTATCCGTTTTATACCGAATTCGAATCTTTATAGTACTGAAAGACTTCGCGAGTTGAGTTTAGTTGAACTGAACACGTTCAATATTGATTTCCTTGCTGGCGACTAGTTCGATCGAATTTTGCACTTGATCGTATTAACAAAAGCAAAGAAGTTTGGTTATCGAAAGGTAGAGATCAAAATTCCGAGGAAAAACCAGGCGGAATGGGGTTAGCAATAACGCAGGCACTTAGCGTTTCGATAGCGTGCACGGTTTCCGATAGAGCAGGTGTTACGATAAATTTAAACGATATTTTATTCAGGCGGGTCCGATCGCTAGTTTTCAATTTGCCGGCTCGTATATATTTCGCGAAGGTCGCTTGTGGAATGGAAGATGGAGGGGTTAGCAGCACCACCGGCTTGACCACTGGAGATGCAATTTCTCGGGGTGGTCCGTCTGGACCCTTCGCATTCGCTCGAGACTTCGCTCCCTCCGCAACTTGATGAAAAAATAATAATCCCCGTGGAACGGTCAGTTATAGGGAATGAAATCATCCGAGCACATCGTGTCGACCTTCGAGTCCACGCATCAAAAGTGAACTTCGTTTTATTTACCGTTCTTGCCATCTCGTGAATAGTTTTTCCTGGTGGTTAGGTTTCTATAGTATCGAATAAATAAATAAATGTTATCAAGTATCAAAAGTAAATGAATTCAATTATGTAATTAATTACGATTCATATAGATATATAATAGATATTATTTTTGCAAATCCTAATTTTTTAAGAAAAGATTCACGACCATTTAACACACCCTTTAGGGCCAACAAAAGAAGAACGATGTAGTAAACGGTAAAAATCTGATAAAACCATTAACCATTCGAAAACCCGTTTCTCGTCATGAAGAATATCAAACAAAGCTCGTATTCCAAGCACGTAATTCACGTTGAAGAGTCAACCGTGCAATTAGATCGCGTAGTTTAGGTATTTAAAGACTCGGTAATCAGTTAAAAAAGAGTGTGGGGTGGTGGTATAAAAGTGGATGGAGGTTTAGCTTAAACGAAAGAAGATAGCGTAGGTCAGATAGAAGTTGTAGATGTTTGGCTTCTACTGAAATTAAAAATATCGATTCCCATTCGCACGCCGGGCTTCATAGAAGCTCAATTCATTTCTCTCCTGGAAGACAATACCTATTCTTCCCGCGGACAGTAAGAGGTACAAATTGCAGTTGCATCCCCCGTTCACCCTCAGTACCCTCGACCCTCGCTCTGTGCAGGAATCCCAAATACAAAGGCTCTTTTTCATTTGGTTTTTCCTCCTCTTCGCCAACGATCCTTCTACCTCCTTCTCCCCGTTCTCAACCCTTCCGCATAGTACTCCTTCTATTCCCCCTGTTTGTGCTTTCGTTCGTTACCGCCTAGCACTCCCGAGTAGGTGACTCTCGCTGGCTGACCAATTCGAACACATGGAAACTTAATGCGATACATAATTGACTAATCCGATGGATTACATACGAAACAGAGGAGTTGTCTTGAACAAGAAGGGAGTTCCCGGGAAACTTTCGTCCTAATCGATCGAAATGACACCCTGGGCCAATCGCGCGGAACCAGGAGAATCGCCGGCTTGCTTTAGTCGACTCGACCCGGCCGAATGAGATCGAGTAATTGAATCCAATGCCGAGCTGTCCGGTAAATCGATCATTATTTTCTTTATCGTATTCTAAAATAAATGTATACTTTGTTCATGTATTTTCTTTTGTTTTCTCTTTTATTCTGCTTTAACATTAATTGATTTTAATTAATAGAAATTTAAAAATAGTAAATGAAGGATTTTATTCGATATCTCTTTGTTTCATATACAAAAATTATTTCATCGCTTTTTATTATTTCATAAATTTCTTGATTTATTATTAAATAGATGAACTTTACGTTCAAAAATTTCTTCTTCGAAATAATTTTCTATGAGAAACGATGCAGGCTGCAGCGTCACCTGCACGAAGGGTTTGCAGTTTCGAAGGGCGGTTTCAACGATGCGGAGCGACTGCTACTACCCCCGTTCGACTACGAGCCTTGATTAGGCTTCCGGTTAATTAATAACCTCTCTTGCACACATAGCCACCGGGCCACGTATGAATATGCATGCGGCCTGTTGTGCGTTTCGTCGTGTGTGTGTGCCAAGTGTATTCATGTAGGGTGAACGAGCGAGTGAGTGAGTGGGAAGGAGGGTGAAAGGATGAGAGAAATAGAGAGAGGAAGAGAATGACTGTGGGGTCGTCGAGAGAGAAGAGGACGGAAGGACGATTGAGGTAGATAGATAGATGGGAATAAAGAGAGAGAGAGAGAGAGAGAGAGAAAGGAACAAGTGGGGAAGGGAAGTAGAAGAGAGGATGGGTGGTTGAGGCTACTTATTTGCATTCGGAAAACAAAGGGTGTGGGCTGTGCGTATGCTTGTTTCTCGTTCTGCGTAACGAAGGACGAAGGAAGACCAATCAAAAGCTTCTTTTCCGTGTTATTCATCCCTTCAAAACGTCCTGTCCTTAGATCAAGGAACGATGATAATTATAAGAATTGTATAAAATAATAAAAGATCATTCGAATAATTGATTTCAGATAGATATCATTGCTATGATAAAACAATGTGTATACGGTTATTTAACAATGATTTGATCTGATTATAGCTTAATTAAATGTACTTCCAAATCCTGCGATGTTTCATTGGATCAAATGGCGGCTAATTGGTCATCTCCAAATGTGCAGATTAGTCCTTCATTATACTATCATCGATGCTCATGTTTCGTGTTCATGATTATCTGAATAACTGCGAATTCCATGAAACCGATTACTTGATAATAATTTTCACTCAAATTTTCAAAACAATTTTATGTAGTCGTGTGAAAAAAGTTTATAATTTTTATATGCTATTATGTTGTCACAGATATAAATAAAATGCGGAAGCAATAAACTATTGAAAAAGTATAACTTCGGTTTGTTCTACTTTTAAGTTACGTAATATCTATATACCTAATTTTATTACGAACTTATCATATGTTTCGTAAGCTATATTTATCTATAATAACAAAAGTAATATCTCACGTTTTTCGTTAAGATATTAGTAATGTAAGAGTCGTGATGTGTTTGATCATAAAATAGATACTGACGAGTATATAAGGTTCTGTAAATGCAAGGAGTAGCAAGAAAATATTTTGCTTAACGTCAAATACACTAAAACGTTAATACAAAAAAAAACCATCATGAAGAACACAATCTTAATTTTATTCACCGCTTTCATCGCACTTTTGGGATTCTTCGGAATGAGTGCCGAAGCTTTAGCTGACCCAAAAGCTGATCCATTAGCTGGTCCAAATCCTGATGCTGATCCAGAAGCAATAAACGTAAGTATTGATTAACAATTACATTAATTCGATTATCTCTTTGTTACACGTCGGTATGTTTATTTACAAGAACATTTTGTAATTGATAATGTTTGATAAAATGTTTTTTAATTTATTTCAGCTGAAGGCTATTGCAGCATTGGCTAAGAAACTATTAGGTTAACATATCGTTTATTCCGAAAATGAAATATATGTTCTTGATGAAATGTAAAAGTTATATTGAGTTATGATATTATAAATTGTTGTGCACATTAAATCTAGTGAATTCATTTTAATTTTACCTATTCCTTACCACAATATATAAATTAGTATAATTCTATTGCATATTATAAAATCGTATGTCTGCTATTTTCGAATGAGCTTATTCCAATTTCACATAAATATGTATATGTTATCTCATATTACATCTATTTCTATAATACATACTTAAAATATAGGAAGACTTCCTAACGAAATTTTCGATATGGATTATTTAAAATAATTATATCCTCTGCGCTTAACAAGTTCAATGTACTATATGGAAAAACAAGGCATATCTACTATAATAATTCATGATATAAATTACTGTGAATATTAAATCAAATACAGACTTTTTATTTTCTTCTTAGTCGTTGTTTTCTAATTAAATAAACAAAATGATACAATTCAATATTTAAATTATGCGATTATCAATAGAGAATCTATTTTCTAATATTTCACAAATCTAGTTAACTTCTATTAAATTTACATTTTTTAACATAATTTTATTATGAAGATAAGAATCTTAAGAATTCTTTCAAACATGTTATTAAGAATAAATATACACTCTATATTAAAAGTTTTCCTTCATCTAACAGTTTTATGTGCATTATTATTGCTATTTATTACATATTCTAAGAACTACAATTAAATGACTAATCATTAAGTAATTTGAATAAAAAAGCAAAACTACATAAATTTTTATAAGATAGATATTATAGTGACATGTTTATTCACAATGTTGATATTTACGTGTATATAAGGCTACGAGAATGTAGATATGCTGCAAGAAACTATTTCGCTTGGAGTTAAATACAAAGCAAAATTACATTATGAGAATGAAATTCTTGATTCTACTTTTAACTGTGGTTGGAACTTTGACATTCTTTAAAGTAAATTACACACCAATCGCTGTTTGCTTGCCATACTGGTGACATTGGATAGTTCACATTTTTGTATGTATGTGACAATTAAGTAATTATTTCAAAAATTTGATATAATTTCTTGATATATATATATATATATATATATATATATATATATATATATATATATATTGATATGAAATTTAAAGTAAATATTATTACAATTTTCAGCAACAATAATATTTTTTAAATAAAATCTTTTGATAAAACAACTTTTATTTTAATCTACGATATATAGAAGAGACATATTCAGATTGAAGTTTACAAATGATAGAGTATTCCTTTTCAAAAGGACAAGAAAATAAACGTAATATACTATATGCACATTAACTTTGGTAATTGAAGACCCTTGAATAGCTTAATGGAAGGCGAAAGATCCAGATTTAAATCCTGGTTGAAACTAACACCTGACTGTTGAATGTTTTTTTACAAATCCTATATACGTATATACTATATTATTAGAAACAAATATTATTCTATATTTAAATTTTAATTTATTTAACATGACATAATAAGTTATTTTCTAGGTATTTAGATTATATGTTTATTAAAGTACGCGTAAAAAAAAAAATTATTTCGAATTTCCAATAAAAAACGAATAGCGCATGACATTTGATAAGATATATGTTATTATCGTGCCGTTTGAATTCACGAAATAGATATTTGCGTGTATATAAGACCGTGGAAATGTAGTAGCCACAAGAAATTATTTTATTTCATACCAAATATATAGAAAAACTTCATCATGCTCAAATTTCAACAATCAAACTTCATCACAAATATGTTCGTGATTTTACTTCTTGCTGTAGTCGGAATTTTGACGTATTACAAAGTGGATGGCTTTTATCAAGGGCGGGTACCTTATTTTTGTAAGGGATACAAGGTTGTTAAATATTTTATTTAATTATTTATATACATTTCATTTACTTTGTTGCATGTATCATAAACACTACAGTAAATTGTATTATAATTATTTTTTGTAAGGTTTAATTTTCAGTAAAAGATATGATTCATATTTTTTATTTCAGAAATTTCCGAAACCAATAATTTGTCGTTTTTAACTTATCATGGATTTCGAAAATAAATAAAATGACTGTTATGAACTACGTAAAGGAAATATTATTTAAATCTTATTAATTGTTTCAAAAAGAAATGAATTTCTTTTTTTTTTTGTAAAATATAAGGTAAACATTATGAAAATATAAAAACCTATGAGCATTTAATATTATAAATTCATTTCTTTCTTCCATATTCATCGTTTACTATATTAATTTACGAAATGATTGAATTACATTAAATATTTCACGTATATGCTTGTTACTTTTGAGATCAGAATTCTTAAATTTTACTCATGTAATAATCTTGTAATATAATTTTAACCAGAACGCATTTTTTCAATGTAGATGAATTTCTTTTAATATTTCATTACAATTTAGATTTAAGTATTTTGAAGTTTGCTCTTTATATTATATAATATCTTCATTGCATTAACCAATTGACCAATGAAACCCTACTTTTTGATTATTATATTTAGTAATTTTCAATTATTCAATTTTATTTTAACTAATTGATTGGATGACTTTAGATAATTGAATAATTTCTCTGCTTCAGCATTACGTGGTTTTTGAGATTACGTTCTTAGAAAGCATTTCGTTCATATTATGCATTTTAAATAAAAAAGCCACGTAGTATGGTTTTCGATAAGATATTAGTAATGTTACTTTCGTGACATGTAAAGTTACGATGTAGATATTTGCGTGTATATAAGACCATGCAAAAGCAACTGATACAGAAAACTAATTTCATTGACGTGAAATACGTAACAAATTTCATCATGAAAAGTACGTGCTTGATTTTACTTTTTGCTATAGCAGCAATTTTGACATTTTTCGGAGTTAATGGTGAATCATTAGCTGAGCCATTTGCTATGCCAATAACTAATCCAAAGGCTACCCCATTGGCTAAGCTCCCGGTAAGAAATTTTTTTTTGTTCATGTACACGTACAATTTACTTTTTTCTTATGCAATTATATATGATGCAAAAAATTGTATTATAATTATTTTTAGTTACGTTAGGCTTTAATGAAAAATTTGTTGTTTTTTTTTTGTTTTCTTTTAGCCTGGATTCTCACCATTTTGAATTATTTAAATAACACTTTGTATCCTAAAACATTATACAATAAAATTATAAAATTTTATAAGAATTTAATCTTGTAAATTTATTTCCTTCCTCTTTATTTACTGTTACTTGACATAATTCATGATATAATGTAATTCCATTAATTATTGAACTCGTATGAATGTATTTGTTGAATCAACCTATTTGAAATTTCACCTGTGCAATAATTTTACCTATGCAATTATTCTTTCAAAATTATTTTTTTTATTTGAAATGCATTTTAACAATTCGAAAATATTTTTTGTCGATTACTGATTCGTCACAATTTGGATTAAAATTTTTTCAAGTATGTTTTTCATATTATGCAATATTTTAAGACTGTTATTATCTGTTGAACAATAAAATTCCATTTATTAATTACATGGCAATATTTGGTAACGTATTGTTGAATTTTTTAATAATCAATTCTATTTGTATTGTGTGTGTGATTGCGACAATTAAAATACATATCTATTCATACTATCTGTATGAAATTGATATACTGATTTATGAATTCATCAAAATTATAATATATGTTATTATTTTTTTCTATTAAAAAATGTATATCTCTGTAGTACACATAAACATACTTAATGTACTATTAGACAAGAATACATTTACGTATTTATATTTTGAATTGTTACTTAACTAATAAGCTAATAAATTAATTTTTCGTCTTTCGGATTATATATTTTTTTCAACTATGATTGTAGGTTTATACATAAAAGTATATCTTTCACGAAAGAAACTGTTTATGTTTGTACGTAAGATTATACTTTTCACGAAAGAAACTTTATTCATTCTCAATAAAAAAGCAATACTGCATAAATTTCGATAAGATAGATATTAGTCATGTTATTATCGTGACACGTTTACTCATGAAGTTGATATATGCGTGTATATAAGACAGTGAAAATGTAGATGCTGCAAGAAACTATCTCGCTTGGAGTCGAATACAAAATAAAATTACATTATGAGAATGAAGTTCTTGATTCTACTTTTAACTGTGATCATAACTTTGACATTCTCCAAAGTAAACTGCGTACCAATTGCTGAGCCATCGGCTGAACCATGGGATAATATTGATCTCTGTGCGCAGTTAAAGGTTATTAAATTAATTTTTGTTTAGTTTTACTCATTCCATCTATTTTTTCTATTCCTTAGTATGTGAAGCAAATCAGTAACATCAGATATTTAAAAAAGTTTTGATAAATATTTTTTGTTTCAGAAACCAGGACAAAGTCCACCAATAATTTGCACTTATCACTAATCATTATTTCCAGAAATAAGTAAAATGTCTGTTATAAAAAAATATATATATATATGTGTGTGTGTGTGTGTGTGTGTAATATATGTATATTATTTATAAAATACATATTATTACATTTTCAAAAAACAAATACAATTATATGAAATATATTGTACATATTATATTATATGTATAATGAAAATATAATATTCTATGATTATTAAAACATGTTAAAATTTTTTTGTCATTTTCATCTATCAAAATCTGTCCTTATTCAAAATCCACTATGTATATAAATAAAGTTCTTAAAAATATTTCTTATCGATCTATTGTTTTAATTCATAACAATTAAAATTTTGTAGTATTGTAAAATGTTTGCTTTTTATGTTACATTTAGATTTTAAATAACCAACCACAGATAGTAATACTAAAAGCACTAACATCGATCAGAGACAATCGAACTTTACTTCTAAATCAATTGACATTTCTATTGACATTATTATTATTAATGATAACATATTGTTCAATTTTTTAATAATCGATTGTAATTGAATGTAATTGAATTATGTGTATAGCTATGACAATTCTATATGAATAGAGTAGTATAGTAACTTATCAATTAACCAAAGTTATAATCCATGCTATTACTGTATATTAAATAATGAATAGTTAGAATACGTATACATATGAAAGCGAGTACATCGATTTAATATAAGTAGACATTTGTGGTGAGATTGACCGAAGAAATCTTGGATAGTTTAATAAAAAACGAAAGAACCAAATTCGAGTCCCGGTCGAAATTACCACCTAACTTTTTTACGAATCTTACATATGTACACAATATATTACTAGAAACAAATACAATTCTGTATTTAAATTTTAATTTATTTAACTTGAGATGATAAGTTATTTTTTTGGGATTTAAATTACGTGTTTATTAAAGTACGTATAAGAAAAATATTTTGAATTTCCAATAAAAAACGAATAGTGCGTGACATTTGATAAGATATCAGTAATGTTATTATCGTACCGTTTGAATTCACAAAATAGATATATATATATATATATATATATATATATATATATATATATATATATAAGACTATGGAGATGTAGCAGCTAGAAAAAATTAATATTTTATTTGATATTATAATATACAGAAAAATGTTCTTCATGCGAAATATGTTTGTGATTTTACTTTATACTGTAGTTGGAATTTTGATATACTACAAAGTAGAGATGGCTTTCGCCATTGACCGATACATCCTATTTGTAAGAAATATATAATATTTTATTTAATAAAATATTTTATTAAATTTAATATTAAATTTAATATTAAATTTAATATTTTATTTAATTATTGGTATACATTCCATTTACTTTGTTGTATGTATCAATAACCATTACAGTAAATTGTATTATAATTATTTTTTGTAAGGTTTAATTTTCAGTAAAAGATATGATTCATATTTTTTATTTCAGAAATTTCCGAAACCAATAATTTGTCGTTTTTAACTTATCATGGATTTCGAAAATAAATAAAATGACTGTTATGAACTACGTAAAGGAAATATTATTTAAATCTTATTAATTGTTTCAAAAAGAAATGAATTTCTTTTTTTTTTTGTAAAATATAAGGTAAACATTATGAAAATATAAAAACCTATGAGCATTTAATATTATAAATTCATTTCTTTCTTCCATATTCATCGTTTACTATATTAATTTACGAAGTGATATAATTACATTAAATATTTCACGTATATGTTCTTTACTTTTGAGATAAGAATTCTTAAATTTTACTTATTAAATAATCTTGCAATATAATTTTAAACGAAACACATTTTTACAATGTAAATGAATTTCTTTTAATATTTCTGATTATTATATTTTTGATGAAATATTTTTGATTATTATATTTAGTAATTTCCAATTGTTCAATTTTAATTTAACTAATTTCGTGTCTTATTACATCAATCAAAACTTGTCTCAATGAATAAAATAATATATTGATTTATAAATTAAGCAAAGTTATAATGCAATCTATTAAAAGAAGGATATATCAGAAAACGCATATACAAATTTTATTATTAGATATACAACATAATAATCTATTTATATATTGAATAGTTCCATAACTTCAAATAACTGTATAATTTCTGGCCTTCAGCGTTACATGGTTTCGTTCTTAGAACGAAATATTATGCATTTAAAATTAAAAAAGCAACACGGTACGGTTTTCGATAAGATATTAGTAATGTTACTTCGTGTTCATGTAAAGTCACGAAGTAGATATTTCGATGTATATAAGGTAGTTACTGAAATTACTAATTCAGTTGACGTGAAGTACTACAACAAAACTTCATCATGAAAAGCACGTTCTTGATTCTATTCTTTGCTATAGCAGCAATTTTGGCATTATTTGAAGTTAATGCTGAACCATTAGCTGAACCGTTAGCTAACCCATTGGCTGAACCGGAGGCTGATCCATGGGCTGGTCGTCCGGTAAGATATTTTCTTTTCAGCTGTACACATATGATTTATTTTCTTCTTATGCATTCATATATGAAGCAAAAAATTGTATTATAATTATTTTTAGTTACGTTAGGCTTTAATGAAAAATTTGTTTTCTTTTTTTTCCTTTTAGCCTGGATTTTCACCATTTAGAATTGATTAAATATCCATGAAAAAAATAACTATTGTGTCCTACAATATGATAGAAATATAAAAATTTCTATGTGAATGTAATCTTGTAAATTTCTTTCTTTCCTCCTTATTTACCGTTACCTGACTTAATTCATAAAATATAATTCCATTAATCATTGAACTGATTATAGCTGTAGTTGTTGAGTCAGCCTTCTGAAGTTTCATCTCTGCAATAATTTTTCCTATACAGTATTCTTTCAATATGTTCTCATTTGAAATGCATTTTAGTAATGTAGATAAATTTTCAAGAATATTTTTTGTCGAACGTTGATCCATCACAATTTGGATTAAAATTTTTTAACGTTTGATTTTTATATTATATTATATTATTAAGTGCGTTATTATCAGTTGAACAATAAAATTCCGCTTACTAATTACATGGCAATATTTGGTAACGTATTGTTGACTTTTTTAATAATCAATTGCGTTTATATTGCGCGTGTGATTGCGACAATTAAAATACATATCTATTCATACTGTTTGTATGAAATTAGTGTACTGATTTATTAATTAAGTAAAGTAATAATGGGTGTTATTATTATCTATTAAAAAATAAATATATAATCGAAATGAGCGCTCGCTTGTGATACATTTCTAAATATTAATGTAATTCTTTATATATTTAAGTTTTAAGTTATCTAATTTCAGCTGATGTTCAAAATAAAATAAAACGTCCTTATGAAATATAAGGCACATATTATGTGATAATAATATAAAATTATGTGATTATTAATTTTTGTGAGAACATTTTAATCCTTCTTTTTCATCGTTATTTCACAAATTATGTAAAGTAATGCAGTTCTTCATTACATCGTATCAGTACAATGAATCAGACAGTACATTGGACTGGTCATGTTTAATCAGCATTCTGAAATCTTATATAAATAATAAACTTTTATCATATCTTCTGATAAGATATTTATTTATGAAAAATCTTCAAAATGATCTGTTAAAAATAAATATATATCCTGATAATAGAAATTTAGATGTTTAATAGAACCGTACAATTATTTATAAATTCATACGAGTTTTAAGATAATCCATTATCATCCAATAGCTAAAAAAAACATTAAGTTTTGAAAATATCTCCGCTTTTCATGGTTTTAGATTATTTATCTGTTCTAATATTTAATGACAAATTTATAACATATTTCGTGACTTACATAACTAAAACTATGATAACTAATGGAAGCAATTTTGCACGTTTCTCGTTAAAGTACTAGTAATGCGAGTCACGAAGTAGATACTAACGTGTATATATGGTCGTGCAAATTTAAGGAATAGCAAGAAAGTATTTTGCTTGATGTCAAATACGCAGAAACTTTTTATCATGGGAAGCACGATCTTGATTCTACTTGTTGCTGCGGTCGCAGCTTTGGGATTTTTCGAAGTAAATGCCGCACCTTTAGTTAATCCATTAGCTATTGCATTTGCCAATGCTTATCGACAAGCTGGTATAAAAGTAAACATTTATTAGCAAATAAGTATGATACAATATTTTTTTATAACTGAAAATTTGATAACCTTTATATTATATTTTGTATTAAGCCAATAGATATAAAGATGACAAAATAGTATGGATAATTTATCATTTTCTGAAAAGGAATGGAACATGACTAATTAAGAGACAAGAGAAGATATATAAGACAGAATAATGGAATAAATTAAATATTGATTATGGATTATAAAGCAGTTCACGTGATGATATATACTGTCAAGCACGTTAAATCTGGTAAATACGTTTTTATATTTTCCGCTTATTGTTATTCTGTAATTGTTCTGTTATATCTGCACGTAATTATTATAATTATCATACGACTGATATATAGCCTTCACTAGTTGGAGTTTATTTATAAAAAAAAAAAAAAAAAAAAAAAAAAAAAAAAACAAATAAAAAAAAAAGAACAATGGATAAACGAATTCTGGAGAAGTAATACGTATTGATAGACGTTCTTTCGTATAGATTGAGAACCACTGTTGGTGTAATATTCCGGTATCGAGGTAAAAACACTGAAAATGAATTAACTTTTTGTCCGGGCGGCTCGACTCCAGGGCGGCCACGCTCAAGTCACATTGTCAGAGCCGAGGAAAGAGGTTACACAGGGACTGATGGAGAAGTTAGAAGAAAAAGATCTATAGAGATCGCCATTGTATCTTGTCTACTATTCGGTGTATCATGTGGTGTGTCCTAGGATACCGGGACATCGCGAATTAACTAGCCGTATTCCCTCGATGAACATCGGTTGTGAGTTCAACGACAACGACGAGATTGTCTGAACGAGAAAAGAACCACTCTTCGCATCGTCGAGCCTTAATCGAGGTCGTGCTACCCATAGTTTTTTCTTTATATCGTTGTATCCCAGAAAAACGGAACGATTCCTCATCTCGACGACCCTTCTTCGCTCGACAATTATAAGAAAGTCCTATCTTTTCATTTAATTTTAATCACATTTTAAAAGAAATATTTGTTATCTTACTCGTAACATATTCTTCTTGTTTGTACCAAAAAAAAAAAAAAAAAAAAAAAAAAAAGAAAGAAAAATTTCGAAATAATCACTAGATTATTAGATTTAGAATAAATCACTAGATTCTAGTTTATATATAGAATTTATACAAGTTATTATATTCTAACTAATGTTTTACTTATCAATAATGAAGCTTTGAATAGAAAACATCTTTAGATCTTTGAATAGATTTGACGATCTTATAATAATTACGATCGTATAATGATTAGTATCCGAAAATACAAAGATTTCGATGGGGAAAATTTATAATCTTTTTCTTTTAGCATTTAACTTTACAAGTATACGATACCTAGAAAACCTTTGATTTCTATCCTTCTCAACGATAATGACGATCGCACTTCCACGTGTGATTATGATCGATGATAGATCTACGAGGGACCAAGATTGTTTCGAAAGAGTGTGCCCTGGCACTTGCTAAGAAGAAGAACAGTTATAATAATAGTTGACCAGGATCAAACTACGGCAAAGCGGCCTCGTGTAATTTATATTTAAATAAGCTTGAATCGAAAACCACAAGGTAAATATGAGAGACGATTCGAGAAAACGTAAGAGAGAAAGAGAGAGTGTTCCGTGACTAACGTGTGCGTGCCGATTTCCATGCGATGTGATTTTCGATCAAATTGCGGTCGCGGCTCAAGAGTGCCGGCTAATCGATTATCATCGTCGAATATTTCAATTCGATCGCTTTCTCTCCTTCTTCTCTCTCTCTCTCTCTCTCTTTCTTTTTTTCTTTTATTTATCTCTTTCTCTGGAAGAATTTTTTGAACGTTCAAAATTACCTATAAGTGTTTAGGAATCTATGTGTTGAAATAATATAGCGAATTTACAGATAACTATTGCCAATGTACAAATATATTTTTTTATCTCGTTAAAGGTTAATACAAATTTCAAATATTATTAAACCTATCGATATTGTATTAACGTTTTCATACGTAAAAATATTGCATATTGAAAATCATGTGCCTTTATATGTTCATTGAAAAAACAATTCAACTCAACTTTTCATATTGAAGATTTATTGAGATATAAAATCACATACACACACACACACACACACACACACTATTCTCCATGTATTGAACAATCGCATTAATTCTACAAAATTAAAAGCAAAAACCTTAGAGCCAACCTATCCAACATCTATCGGAGAAGCAACCAACGAGAAAAAACACATATCTACCCAAACACCTAATCCTACCTCATGCACGTCCATCGCAATTTTATTTCGATTCCCCCTCGCAAGGCATGCTACCTTTTCCCATCAGAAGGAAGGGCTAGGTCGGAGTGCGCCCGAGCCAGTCGTATAATAAAGGATGCCTGGAAACAATATAAAACAATAAAGGGTTCTTACCATAACCGCGTGGCTGAGTCGGTGCGATATTGTATCTGGTACACCGTGGTGAAGGAAGGAAGGAAGGAAGGAAGGAAGGAAGAAAGAAAGAAAGAAAGAAAAGAAGAGACAAAGAGAATGGCCTGGTCTGGTCAAAAGAGTGAGAGTGAGAGAGAGAGAGAGAGAGAGAGAGAGAAAGAAAGACTAAGAGAGAAGACCAAGGTAAGGGAGGAGTAAAGGTGGAGACGGAGTGTGAAACGAAAGAAGAAGGGTGTACGGGTCAGTTGTCTAATATATGTGATAATAACTTCGAGCCGGGAATCGAAGCCAGCGGCGTGCGAATCTCGGATCTGCATATATGGATTGCCAACCATCTTTCTCTCTCTTTCCTCTTCCTCTTTTTCCTTCGATCTATCTATCTCACTCGTTCTTCCCCTTACTATCCTACACGAACGTATTTTTCATACGTATAGAGATAGGCGTACGCGTGCGCGAGCCAATGCGCCAGCCGGGAATTTCAAGATTGAAATTTGAAATATGGAAATAACAGAAAACGATCTCGAGCATTCGCCGTGGTGGGACCCTTACTCCACACTCAGCGGGCTTTCCAAAAATGATGTGCGTTGTATATACGTATACCTATCTAAGTGGTTAAAGTTATGGGTGAAAAGGATTCTGGTTAGAAGAGAAAGAGAGAAAGAGAGAGAGAGAGAGAGAGAGAGAGAGAGAGAAAGTGTGAAAAAAGAATAAAAGGGTAAGAAAAGGAAAATATAATCGTTATTGATATTAGGATATATACTGAATTATATAAAGATATATCTTTATCATTCATATTCTAGATTAAATGAAGTTTTCTGTAGCTGACCGTACATGCGTTTACTATGAAGAAAATAAAGTATGTAAATTGTGAGTTGACTACTACCATCTCTCGAGGTACATGCAAACAGTCTTTGTTTCGAGAGAAGACAGAGCCGGCTAGAGTTGTGCCACGGAACATTAACCAAGCAGCGAGCATAACAGAAAAGATCGTAATGTTCCGCAGCGGAGGTTAGGTGCATAATGTGACGTAACGTAACATATAATGGCGACGAGAGCGTTCCATTGTATTGCACATAGAGAAAGAGAGAGAGAGAAGAGAAAGATATAGAGAGAGAGTGAGAGAGAGAGAGAGAAGAGAACGAGAGAAAGACTTGAAAGACCAAACGTGGAAACCATATAGAAAGAAGTACTCGAGGGGATGCCCAGGCTACCCGTTCGGAGGAAAATTTTGTCGAGCGAACCAGCATTTACGTTACTCTACTTGCTCTTCACTGACGTTAGCTTCGTACACTTATGAAAATCTCCTTTTTCTCATACCGAAAAGAATAGACGGTACTATTTTGTTCGAAGAAAAAAAAAAAAAGGAAAAAAAAAAAAAAAAAAAAAAAAGAAAATGATCGCTTTCGGTAGAAAAATATCGATTTTATATTACTCACGAACAAATGCATTTTTGATAAAACTTTATAATACAATTTGAACGATTGTCAAACATATTTCTTACATACGTATAAAGCTATTATTATAATCGATAATCAGCATTATCAAGGCGTAAAAAGTAAATTCCTTTTCAGATAAAAAAAAAAAAAAAAGAAAAGGAAAAGAAAAGAAACGGAAAAAAAAAGAAAAAAAAAACAATTATTACCATTCGAACTTCGTTTTGGATCCATTTTATTCACCCTTTGACGAGTCGAGACCAAGGAAACGATTTAACAAGCGATTCCGTGGCGAATATTAATGAGAAAATTGCTTCGGCAATTGCGGAGAGATTCGACGGAAGATTTTAAAGAAGCAGGTGGTGGGTGCTCGTGGGCGAGAGAGAGAGAGAGAGAGAGAGGGAGAGAAAGCGCGCGCGCGCGCGCGCTCGCCCACTCCACAAATCCGATGGCCCGGATATTCAAGCTGAAAGCTCTTACAACCGTGGAAAAGGGAGTAATCGAGGAGAATTCAGTCCTTGTCTTCAATGCCCGTAGACAAACGATTATTTCTTTCCTTTCTTTTTTTCGGTACCGTCCCGCCATAATCGAGGGATTAAGATCTTCCATAGGTGTAGTGAATCGAATTATTAACCTGTACAAAAAGAGATAAAGAAAAATATATTTCGTAGGAAATTAAGAAGAATTTTAATGGTCTCGTATAAAAAGAAAAAAAATCTCCATGGACAATATATTTAATAACATGGATCATCAATTAGCTAGTAAATGTATTCAAAATGATGTCTCCTTAGCTATTAACCAGAATTTATTTAACATATAAACATGTCATTTGTCTTTGACAAAGAACATAAATATACTTGTTTCTAATGAGGAAGAGATGAGAGGGAAAAGGAAAAGACAGAGAAAGGGAACGATTGCGCGATCGTTAATAAATTGTACTTATGCAAGAAAACGGTACTCACAGACAGACATTTTCTCAGTCTTCGAGTTAGGTCATTAGAAGGTTATTGTTCATAAGCGTTTATAACGTGTTCGAGCTTTGAGCGTGGATCACGTCGAAAGAGTTTCTACAGCATATCTTAACGAGTAATTATGTTTCTTCGATAAAGGAGAAATTGCCGAAAGAGAAAGATGAAGAATCGAAAATTAATGGATAAATTGAGATATGAAGTTGCTGATGAGATACGAAGTCCATGCGACTTTTTTCAAAAATCTTTAAAATCATTGACCTCTTTAATCTTATTCGTATTTCTTTTTCCTCATCTCTTAGTCCTACGATATTCTTTTATTGTTTGTACAATTTATAGAAGAATTAATTATAAATATCGAAGAGAGAAGAATAATTATGAACGATCGAAGATCGACAGAATAATTTTTCAAAACTATTTTATAGATTCGTTTCTCGATAATATAATAATAAATAGATTTATAATAATTTGCAAAGTTAAACGTTAATTAGGAATGACAAACAATATAGAATTATTACATCTTGACATATACCTTAATCAGGGCTCAATTTTTCCACCCCTAAATCTAAAATCGAAGGAAAACCATTTGAATCGTTTGTGACCCGATTATATCGGAATTAAACGGCCGATTTAAGAAAAGAAAAGAGAAAGAAGCCGAAGGGCTTCATGATCGTTTCTCAACGTCAGAAACCAAGAGCCATCGGATTTTCCTGACGGAGGAGAAAATACGAGCTCTTCTAGTTTCTGTTCTCTCCCCTCGCTCCCTCTTTTTTCGATTCCCCTTTCGCACATACGCATGCTATACGCGCGACTTTGAAAAGTAAAAAAGGATAGAAACAGAGAAATAGAGAGAGAGAGAGAGAGAGAGAGAGAGAGAGAGAGAGTGGGAGGGAGGGAGGAAGAGAGGGAAAGAGAACAGACCGTTGTCCGGGTATAAAGAAGTTCATTATCGTGACGTTTAATTATGTATTTATTTTTAAAACCCTTTGTCGAGCCAGAATCCTTTTACCGGGAAAAGAGTTACGCCGATTCTCGGTAACCACTCTCCCTCTTTCTCCCTCTCTTTCTCTTCGTCTACCTCTCTCTTTCTTCTTCTTTCTCCTTCTCCCTCTCTGCCTGTCTGTCTCTCTTTCTCTCTCTCTCTCTCTCTTTCTTTCTCTCTTTCTCTCTCGTTGTCCATTGCTAGCTGACTGCTAATGAATTTTCACCTTTTTTCGCCTTATTTGCTCATTAGTGCCTTACCCACGCTTTTGCTCTCTCTGCTTCTCTCGTTCTTACTCTCCCATCCCCACTCTTTTCTTCTTCGTCACTCTCTCTCTCTCTCTCTCTCTCTCTCTCTCTCTCTCTCTCTCTTTCTGTTACTTTCGACTACCT